TATATATATATATATATATATATATATTAATGAAAAAATCATTAAAATGTCTAAATTTGTGTAAAGAAAATGACTAATTTAATTTAGAAACCACTAAACCAAACCATTTCTGCATGGTTTCATAATTCGTTTTTCTTTATAAAAAACAAACAAATAAACCACATTTCAGCAAATAACACACAACATTATGTTTAAATGTTGCTGTTTCCATCTGTCCCTACATGTTACATCTGTCCCTGCATGTCCCATCTGTCCCTACATGTTCCATGTGTCCCATCTGTCCCTGCATGTCCCATCTGTCCCTACATGTCCAGTTAACAATTGATCATATTTGTAGGGAGTCGTACATTTCATTTCATGGTACAGCAATAAAATAATATAGTTTAAAAAGTACCTAAATATGTTTCTTTACTATGTTTAAAATCCCAGTTGAGGACCAAGTTTTTATATTTTACATTTCAGTTTTATTCTCATTCGTTTAATAAAATGTCCTGTTATCAAACCTGTTTCTAATGTTCTGTGAACTCACATTTTGTTTTCAACATGAGTAGTTTTTTATTTTTAGCATCCATGGCATGTCTCTTTAGCTCAGCAGCTGTCATTTTATTTTAAATCTGGAATAAGAATTAACTGAACCTGAACGTTCAGATTATTTGAATCCAACAGACAGGATTAAAATGTTGCGAGAAAGCACGGCTGCAGGACCTGCGGAAATCCAGCAGGGGGCGTGTGGAGGTGGGGATGCCCTGCGCAGGCCAGCTGAGGAAGTGGAACTGCGTGAGCGTGCGGGTCTCCTGCGTGTGCACGTTCTTCAGGTAGAAACTGCGCACCAGGAAGTCGTTGCACCAGATGTGCTCCGACACCAGGTTCACCTGAGAAACAATTAAAATAAATAAATAGAATAATCACATCTGCAGCTCGATTCCCCGAACATAAACTCAAGAGTCAAATCTGGGCAGCCAAGTTAATTTAAATGTAAAATATTCTCTCTCTTCTAATTTTTTCTTTTTAAAAAAATGGATAAATATTTCATTTCGAGTAGACTTCTCTTGCCAGCTGGTTAACGCTGAAGCCAGAAAGACGGCTGGATCATTCTATCATTACAGACAAACCTCATAGATGTGGTAGAGGGACGAGCCTTCATCAGGCCAGTAGCGGTCGCACTGTTTCACTCCGTCCTCCACCAGGGCGGTCAACATCACGATGACGGTGCAGCCGTTCTCCCACACCATCTACACACCAACAACAAGGTAAACACCAACAAACAAACGCACTCGTCCAGCTGGAACGGGGACTGACTGACCTGCCAGAAGTCAGAGATGGTGTGGGACAGCGGTCCCTGGGTGGCAATGTAGGCCGGCATCCGGGGGTCGTGCTCAATCTGCAGACAGAGGCTTTTATTTTGGTGAACAGCGCCTCAGAGTACGTCTTTTCTTACAGATTTTTTGGGTTTTCAGCATATGCAAGCTAAACTTTTGTCTTCTTGTTGCTATGGTAACCATCTGAGGAGAACAGACTCACAATGGTGCTGGCGTTGATGTAGTCGGAGCGAGACGGGTTGACGTCAGCTTTCAGCTTCACCCTCGAGTGGTCATCTGTAGAACAATCTTAACATTTTAGCCAGTTCTTCTGCCTGGGTGGGTTTCTCAACGTTTCAGCTACATTTTAAACTAAGGATGCACGATATTATCGGCATGGTATCGGTATCGGCCGATATTAGTGATAAAGTTAAATATCGAATATTGACCGATCCATCAAAATAACTCACCAATACAAAAGGCGCTCTAC